AACATGTTGTTTCCTTGACGCTGATCCACAAGACTCCTCAATTACCTGGAATTTTAATAGTTCGAACCGCTTCCAAGAATCTGTCAGATTCACGTCTGAATCTGTGATGACTGATTCGCAACCAGATAACTGACATTTCAGTTAAGTCAGCATGTTTACTGCCGATGGGTAATTAGAAAAAAGCACTCTTGGGGGTTTTTCTCTGGTGGTTAGTTCCTAAAATAACTGTGACCAAACTTTAAGAGTTCTGGGAAGACATGAAGACTTTTAGCAGCTATGATTAGGTTTTATGATAAAACACAATCACCTCACCACTCTTGAGGTGTAATTTTTCAGCCAAAGCAGGGATCTGTTCATGCAAAACCTACTACCTGTACAGCTACAGATAACTAAGACTTGCAATGAAATGTTTAGCAGATAAAGAGCAAGACGGTTACCTCTAGAGTTGGTCGAGACCAAAATATAGTTTAAAAACTGATTGAGTGTTCTTTGGCTGCAAGATGTGTAAAGAAGCAAGTGTTTTCTGACTGTCACTATATCGACTTAAAAGGGGACATGCTGTGCTAATTTCCAGTTTCATATTTACCTTAAACTGGGCTCAGTTCATCCACTGTATGAACTGAGCCGGTTTATCTCCTCCTGCTTTCTTATCAGCTCATAATCAAGGCTTGAGCATCAGTTTTGTGGGGCTTCTGCATGCCTGAAAAGACTATATGAAACACATTTCCTCTCAGTGGCTTCAAACAGATCCAGAAGTACAAAGAAACATGTCTGAATTGGAGTACTTGGAGTTGTGTGAAGTCTGGGGACTTTTTTAAAGATATGAATATGTGCTGTATGTGGAGAAACATGCGTGCATTAGTTGAAATTCGGGCCATATTTAATGAGCTTGCTGTGTGTATTTGCAACAGTGTGTGCTGTATATATGTGACAGAAAATGAGGAAAAGACACTACTGTATGTCAGTATGTATAGTGATTCAGCTTGGGTCTGCTGCCCCTAAGTGGCACAAAATCACTTATTGCAGGGTTGATATACAATGCAGTTCCACATTAAAGACTCGTGAACTAAACACACATCAATCATAGTCGTATGAAAATGGCTTTTTACAATGAAGCCATCTCAAGCTCCTTTTTTCCCCTCTAAAGATGCTTGTTTATTATTTATTTTTTTTACTTCAGAGGTCTGAAAATGGAGATCAAAAGTTACATTTTTAACTGTGAACTTTTCTTTTTTTTTTTGTTTCTGCTGTGCTTCAGGCTCTCTGAGCATCAGCACTGACATCACTTTGTGTAACATCACAAGGATCAAACATGAGCTGAAGGATGATTGCAAAAACCTAAACACTAGATACTACAAGGAAATGCTTTAAGTTCAGTCTTTTTTGTTTCTGCAGCTCCCAAAGGTGTATTTTATATTTAACCTTTTGTTGTTGTTTTGTTTTGATGGTGCTGTTTCAGATCAAACATGTTATCACCTGTGATCTAAAAGCAAAACCAATAAAAGAAACAAACGCCTTCACACTAAATAGACTTCCAAAGAATACTGTTTAATCTCATTTCATCTCATTTGTTTCTGTAGTTTCCACTTATTTTTATGTTCGCTGAAGCAGTTTTAGCTGTAAAACATTTTTTCTACAAACAACAAAGCCTTTAGGTTTTCCTGTTGTATCCTTTGTGCGTTCATCCTTCACTCCTCTGTTCCTCCTTGACCTTTTGTGCCGCCTCCTTCCTCTGTAGTCACCTTGTGTTCAGTAGGAGCTTCTTGCATGCAGACTGTGTTACCTTCCTCTTTCCCTTGAATGCTGATGCATTTTTAGTCTCTCCCGGCTGTTGTGATGAAAAACGACAACAGATGTTTGGCGCTCCCGGGAGGCAGATTTCAGACTGTTACTCGACACAATGAGACGATTTCATGCTAAATTTACCTTAATATTCCATGTCGTGCTTTGTGACGCCTCCAATGCCTTTTGTCACTCTTTGAAAGCTGTAAATGTACACATGCTATAGTTTAATCTGATTCGAAGCCTGGATGTTTTTGTCCACCTTAAATGCATTTTTTTATGGGCTTGTGAGATAGGCAGGTACGTTTTGTTTGACCGAGGAAGTTTTGTTTTTGAAGTCATGCCTGGTTTCGTTTTCTCTAGAAATTCACTCAAAACTTTTCTTTCCTTCTCCCCCTTGTCTTCCAGCTGGTTGAGTTCAGAGCTGCTTCATGCCCACCGAGGCGAAGGACTGGAGCTGGCAAACAGCTCAGGTGGGCAGAAAAACGGAGGGGAGGGGCAGGCAATAAGAGGGGACTCCTTAGACTGACAGGAATAAACAAAGCCATCTTGTTGTCACAATCCTCATGTTTTCCCTTCTAATAAATTTCCTGCTTTTCTACAATCATCAAATCTTGTGCATTTTGTTTTTCACTTGAGTCTCTAACTCGAGAGAAATTCACTTGGCCTTTAATCCGAGAAATAAAATCATAAAATATCGTGTAGGAGTACCGTGACATTTCATGCACATTTTCCATTGAGTGTCCGCACCTTTGTTGCTTGTCGTTTCACATCTCATAACCTGAAGTGACACTTAAAAAGGTTAGGGTTAAAGTCAGGGTATCAGTAATGGTGTGCAGTGAGGAATGATTTCCTATTTAACAGTTCCACATATCACACACTGATGTCTGAAGGATCGAGGACCTGTATGAATGATGAGAAATACACTAAATTGGACTTGCTCATAGCTCATCAGGAATAAAAATATCACTAACCGTGTTGAATAACCTTTCAGGTTTGCCTCTTACCTTTGAAATCTGGTTTGAAACATAGGCCTCACATCTCTCACTAAAAAAGACTAACAGATCTTTTAGATCTCCACGAGCGCTCTACAACAAGAATGCTTTCATCATAAAACTCAATTATCCAAGAGAACGATTATAAAACAGGAACTAGTCTTGTTTTAAGGGACTTGCATTATCTAAAATGAAAAGATAATGATTATTAACCTCTTAAGCACCCATGCACCCAAAGATGGGCGCAAAAGGGAGGAGATTAGGAAACCACTGGGGCCTTAACAGGTTAAAAGATTTGTTTAGGGATTGTAATCACTGTAAGGTGTTGGCTTGCAGCCAGAAGGGTTTGTCTAAATCCCTGAGCTCTACTCGAGGTGTTGAGTGAGCACTGCCTTAACATGTTGATCCACTGAGTCATTCTGGGTCATTGCATATTATCTCACTGTGGTTTTCTTAAGCATGAAAACATTCAGTGGCCTTTCGTGCCCTGTAGATGGGGGCTTTTTCATTCTGGAAAAGATTGCTTAAGATGGAGATTGATGTCTGGATCCTGTCACTGCTGCACAATCTAAGCAGGAAACTGTTGAAGTTAAGTTTTCCATTTGTTTTTGTTGTGATAAAATATGTTTTTTCTAACACAGGAAGGAAATGACAGGTTTCCGAGTCTTCGTGTAAAATATAATGAAGCTGGTGCTACTACACTGTTTCCACTTTGAGCTAGCATGGTGAAACTTTTCCTAGAGATGGTTAACACAGCCCTTTTTCTAAGGCAAATGTTAACTGAGGCCTGTGAGCTGCACTGCGTCTTACACCCAAAACATACCTCACTTGCTGGTCTATTTAAGTTGCACATGTGTGATGTTTAGTCATCATATTTGTAGGGAGTGATGAGCTCAGAGCCTTGACACTAAACTCTTAATAGTAATCCGCAGCCGTCATGAATCATCCCAAATGCGAGTTGTCTGACTGAGACGTCAAAAAATACTAAACACATGAGTTAACAGGAATAAACATGATCAAAGCTAAAATGTAATTAATTTTAAACTTAAAAGTTGAAGCAAATTGTTTCTGTTTACCTTTTAACCCTCAACCATGAAGTCTGTACAGCTCACACATAAAAAAAAAAGTTTTGAACAAAGATTGAACTGGCTTTAAGAAGGAGACTTCATTGATGTGACAAAATTTCAGTTTGTCAGCAGCAGTTAAATGCACAGGTTTTTAGGTGTTATCAGCTGTGCAGTCCTGTGAAAAACTAACTTCCTTTTCTTCCTTAAGAATTAGGAAGATGAGTAGCAGCCAGGTGAAATGCAATCAGCTGTGTGTTAACAAACCATCGCAATCTTAGACGTGGCAGCAAGTTCATCCCAAAATGCAATGCTCAGAAAAACTATGACAAACATAAGAGCTGCATCTCAGACTCCACAGACCTCAATTAGCATGTTAAATCTTAAAGCTCACGATAGCACAAATATGATCTTAATATCTGACCGCATTGCAGAGTAGGACATTTGACGAAACCCAAACATGGAATAAACACCTCATGTCAATGCAGTGCAAATGCAGTGGTGGAAAGGTGATTTAGCTGACTTTGCAGCTACAGGACCTGGTTACCTTGCAGTCATTGATTTGACCATGAACTTCTCCATATAACAAAGTATTCTAGAGTCAAAACTGACAACTAAAGCTTCTCTGAAACTGGGTCATGCAACAGGACAACGGTCCCAAGCACAACGGCAAATCTACAAAAGAACGGCTCAAAAGGGAAACAGTCCAGACCTCAAACTGACTGAGATGCTTTTACTTTGACTGTACATGAAAAGATATCTGCAAGCTTCATTGAACTGAAGCACTATTGTGAAGATTGTGGCCCAAAATTCATCCACAGTGACGCAAGACTGATAAAGTCATACAGTAAACAATCACTTGTATTTGCTAAAGGTGCTTCTACAAGCTATTGAATGGTGAGGTGCAGTTTATCACAGGACTTCTGTGACATGACCTGAGACATTTCTTTGAATGCAAAAGACTTTGGTGATAATGGAGCTGTTAGCTCTAACAAACCAACAGACAAAGATCTCGTTGTCCAGAATTTCCTGTTTTAGCCAAGTGTTAAATTGAGTACATGTTGTCTCTATGTTTTTAAATCTTTAAATTGACTCAATACACTAAATTCATTTAAATTTCAGATTTAATTTTAGTTTCAAACCTTTCTCCTTTCTACTATGAAATAATGTGTGTGACCTGTAATGAATATCCCTGTTGGGAAAAAATAGACTAAATAAGAATATAAAGTATCATCAGACAATGACAACCTCAGTTTCTCATTTTATCAACTAATCCAATGAAGGAATTCAACCAATAGGACTGTTACAGTTTATGAAACCTGCCTTTTTTGATTTTATCCTTTTTCTCCTGCAAATGAAGTCAGGTGAGTTGTTGTTCTAGTCTTAAATATTTAATGTAACCTGTTATTTTGTCTGAGATTGTTTCACTGGTGCAGTGTGAGCATGTCTGGACAAGTTGGAGGTTTAAAGACAGCACAATGATGGTATCAGTGTCCTGGAGGGTTTGTGTATATGTTACTGGTTTTCAGTAAAACTAGTGATAAAAAGCACAAAGCTGTCTTTTATTTTATCAGCCAAATAAAATAAAAAGAGCCTGGAAGTCTGCTTTATCAGTGATTAGCAGCAGATAAGGGCAGTGAACTTGTCTGAGCATAAAAATCACATGATCACTTTAACCCAAATGTCATGCTTGCAGCTTACCTGTGGCTTAGTCTGAAGCAGCAGCTGCACAGAAGTCACCTAACCCTCTCTAGAGGTCACTGTTTCTGAGATTTGCTTGTAACTCAAATGTGAAAGTGCGTTTTTTTCCTTTTGTATTGTTGTAAACTGAAAAATATTCAGTTACTGATCCTTCGCATTTAGACTAAGCATCAAATATGTTTAACGTGTGAATTACAAAAAAAGAAGAAAAAGGGTTTTTTTTTGGTCTTTACTCAAATAAAGACTTTTTTTGGAAACAGGAAAAGATGACATGCATCTGGCATGACTCATACTGAAAACCTTTCCTCCTTTAATTGTAGGAAAAGGAGAGTAACCAATAAGAACAAAGAGGTTCTTTTAGAAAAGCCGAGCACAGAGTAGTCACCCTGGATTATTGCAAAGCAGCACGTGGTCTCAAAGCAGTGACGATTGCATTTTTATCCTGGTATTATATGTTCTTGGCATTGCTTTGGTTGCTCTTTGTTGGATCTAGTATTTTTTTAATAAAACACAAACTATTAACTTGTATGGTGTAACGTCTAAATTGTATTTTAAAGGTCAAATTATTTTTGGATCGAAAGGAAACTGTAAGGTTTAAATTGATTGTTTGTAACATTATTTTCTCCTCATAGATCCACATGTGTTTATATTATTTACGCTTGCTCTGTAGTTTCTCTTGTAAGGTAACATATGTAATGTGGGATTGCAACATTTTTGAAGAGTTGTGTATATATATCTATTGTGTCCTTCAAACAAAGTATGTCATAGTTATCTCCTGGTATCAGACTGCTTGTGTATGATATATGTTTATTTAAGACATGACATTCCAGTCATGTTTCCTACGTGAAGAAGTGTGGCTGGAATTCAAGGCTGTGTTTATTAATAGGTGAAACGATTACTCACTATTAGTATTTTGTTCTCAAATGAAAGTGGAATCATTTCGAGGTCTGGGGAAATATTTTCCTTCATCATCATTTCCTTCATCGTGTCTCTTTCTACCTCTCGCTCCGTCTGTTATGTTAGAAAGACTAACGTGTTTCTTTATCTGAGCTGACTCGATGAAAGCATCCTCCTATTCTTTTCACATTTTAAATGCTCCCTGTGTGCTCACTATGATGAATGCTTCCCTGGTCTCTGATCAGGTCCCTGGTAATTTTAAGGATTCAGTCATTCAGCCACTTTTTAAAAACTCCAAGCTTCTTGGCAGTTATAAATCCATCTCAAAGGTATTCCTAAAAACCGTTAATAATGATCCTTTTCAGGCAGGCGTTGTAGCGCTCATTCCACTTTATCACTTTGTCTCCAGCAACATCTTGATTGTACTGTTTCTGTTATATCTGCTGGCTTTTGAGTGATAAGAAACATAGACATTTGAGAACGTATAAAGACCTTTCTTATCACTACTATGCAGATGACATCTACGTTATATATCTCCCTTAATCCACGATGTGTTCCTAGACTTAAAGGTTGGCTGGCTGCCACTTTTATCCAACTTAGCGAAGCTCATGGAAACTTCAGGTCTTCTTACCACTAAATTACTTTACTAAAAGTTCTATGTGTAGGTTTAGACTCAGTCTTCACTTTGAATGCTTGTGTTAAATATCTGGCTTGGTGTTGTTTTTATGACTAATAGAGGTACCATCGTGTCGCGCCTCTATTTCATCACATCTGGGTTATTGATTCATTTTTTAATTGTCTTAGCAAAGCTTCGTTGAGACATATTGCTGTAAATATGTCTTATCTGAAACATTTTGGCACAATAAACTTTTGTTCTCGGAGGGATTTTTGCTTTTTTATTCACTGATGTGTTTAATAGAAATGAGTTCACCATCGTTTGGGATTTGGACCCAATGTATTACCGACAGATATCTTAATAGATAAACATGGTACTGCTGTGTTAGAGGTGGTAATCTAAGAAGCAGCTAAAGCAAATCTGTCCTTTTTATTTATTTTTATTTGCACATTTACAGTAAACTAGCCCTTGCGCCACGGGGAGGGGTTTCCACATTGACGGTGACGTGACGTCACCGGCCAGGGCTTTCCTCCATGACGTCAGGGGGCGGTGGGGCGGCAACCAGAAAGCGCGAGGCGAAGCGGAACGAGCTGCGGAGATTAGAGTTTTTGCGCTGCGCTCCCCGGGCGCAGGAAAATCAGAGTCCGCCGTCACCTGCCAGGAGACCCCCCGCCGAGCCCGAGAAGAGAGACAGAGGCTGGCACGGTAACGGAGGACGGTTTACACCCAGACTGTAGATCAGCGAGCCAAGCACAGGAGCACCGAAGCGGCCGCCGCATCGCTCCCCAGCCTCTCCTGTGGAAGAAATCCGGTCCTGATCAGGGTGAGTGTCCGGTGATGAACCCTCTGCTGCATGAGCTGCTTAACAGACATGTCACGGATTTAAATGTGTCTCTTTATATTTGAATGTACGAGATAAATACAACAAAACTGGCCGTAGAGGAGTAGATCTGTTTGCCACTAAAATAACTGTCTTCTGAATGGTCATTCAAAAAGCCTGATAGTCACAGGTGAGCTCAAAGCAAACCATCCACGTTTTTATTAGAGAGCGGAAAGATCTCAGTCATGTAGGCTGTTTAAATACAGCGAGGACGAGCTCAGCTGCTGCAGTGTGACCCTAAACTATAGAAGCAGAATGTCCAAGTCATCCTGAGAGTTAAAATGCTGCCCTGGCTTTGCCTTTAAAACACATTCCTGTCTGTTCTGCCACTCCCCGGTCACTCTGCTCTAAGGACACTGTGTATTTTCCATAAAAGATGGGAAAAAAATACATTAAACATGACTGTGAAAAGGAAGCTGGCAGCAGAAGCCTTACATGATAATAAAACGCAGTGCTAGAGGAGGTGTTACAGAAGCTTAGAGCTCCTCAAACACTCCACACAGGAATATGAATATTTATGTTTTGGGGGCTTTTACTTCTGTTTCAGGCCAGATTTTCTGAACCGTCGGGGTGTGGTGACCATCACCAGCACCCCAGTGTAGTGTTTTCTGAAACGCTCAAACTAAAAGCAGCACAACTAAATACAAGCGAGCCAGCACGAACCGGTGCCTTTGCAGATGTTGTGAATCAGATAAGGAGTTGAAATGAGTTGTAAATAATGACATGGTTCAGTTATGATGTTGGGATGAGAGCTCAGGCTTAATGAGGCGTTCCCGTTTGTGTCACGTTACCATATAGTTATTTGACATCCTTGTAAATAGTGTTTAAAGGCTTAAAGAAAAACTCTTTAACTGCCGTACTGGTCTTGGTGAATGACACATCAAATAGTCGATTTGCTTAGATTTACAGATTGCGATGGTGTTTCTTTTTTTTTTCAAGTCACCCCTTAAATAACCAATACTAATATTTATCTTTTTATGACTGGAGTGCAGGTGAGTCAGCATGATGAGTTTGTTTTGATTCTTTGAATGTGGCATAGACGTGACACAGTCTGTAAATCTGGCTGACTGGTTTTTGTAAAGTAGGCCTGTTATCAGGACCTATTTCCAGCACATTGTTTTTATTCTCAGCGTGTATGATTCACCTGTCAAAATTATTTTCACGTCATACGCAGCCTTTGTGCTTCACCTCAAGCCATCATCTGCCTTCAAGACAACTTTCTTGTGATTGGCTAGCCCTCGTAAACAGAAGGTTTTACCAGCAGGTGGGTGGAGCTGCTGGGATGATAAACTGAGCATTTAGAGCAGTTTGAAGCCCGAGCTTTTGGCTCACAGGGATCAGTTGTACTCTTTTCATGTCTGTTATGCAACGAAATATTAATAACACACAATAAGGAAAAGCATAAAAACAAAGAGGATGCGTAAAGTCAATTAATAGTCAATTATTAACTATCCCAGAGCGCGATGATACCTTTGAATGGCCAGTGCTGTTTTGCTTTACGGTCACATTTTGAATACCTTTCCCCATCCTAGAAAAAGGCAATATAACCAGGATTTTTTTTAATCCTTATGTTATATCAGATTAAGTTTGTCAGTTAACCAAAAGAAGGGCCAAATATCAGTTAATATCATTTAATAACAGGTTTATTACAGTGAACCTGTAAAATTAATAGCAGGAGAAAATGCCAAAAAATGCATGTTTGACATAGTTTGAGGCCTCTAGAGTGCGCTGACAATGTATTTTTTCTTCTGTAAAACATTTTAAACATTGTTGGGAGTTCGCCTTGTAATCGGAAGGTTGCCGGTTCGAGCCCCGGCTTGGACAGTCTCGTACGTTGTGTCCTTGGGCAAGACACTTCACCCACCGCCTACTGGTGGTGGTCAGAGGGCCCGGTGGCGCCAGTGTCCGGCGGCCTCGCCTCTGTCAGTGCGCCCCAGGGTGGCTGTGGCTACAATGTAGCTGCCATCACCAGTGTGTGAATGGGTGGATGACTGGATGTGTAAAGCGCTTTGGGGTCCTTAGGGATTAGTAAAGCGCTATATAAATACAGGCCATTTACCATTTAAAGTCAGTCTAATTGTTTTTAAAATTTCAAAGATCTGTATTGACCTCGAGAAGCACATTCTCTCTCTGTTCTCTCTGTGTTTGCGTGGGCTTTCTCCAGGATCTCACATGTAGAGTCCATCAAAAAAAAGTACATGGGTAGTGTAGCCGAGTGCTGTTTTTAACTGTGGTTGTGGATAAGTGGAACTGGGCTGTTATCATTTTATTTAATGGACTGGACCAATGTGCCAAATGTGATCTATGTTTAATAGGATCAGTAGAATGGAGTCGAATCCAAAGCACCTGATTAGTGCAGCACTAAAAACACAGAGATGTAAAATAGTACTTTGAACACATCTGTTTAAGGAACTGTGTTTAAATTTTAATCTCTAATGTCTTAGTCTTCAGCTTGTTAGCTTTAAATGTTTTGTTTACCAAATCTATTTGCATACTGAGCTGCCTGGAAGCATCTCCAGAGACGTTTTACAGGACAGGTGCAGCTGTAAAAAGAAAATCAGTTATAGAACATTATTAAAACATTTAACAGTCTTAAAGTTTTCACTGAAAAAGCCTTTCAAAGCAATAGGTAAGGAATATGGTGTCATCTGAACCAAACTGCATTAAGCACAGCATATTGTAACAAAGAAGTGAGGTTAAAAAGTGTTACAAGTGACTATATTTGGAGTACGTGGTAGAGGATGACCTCATCCACAGGAGTTTCAAGTTTCTGTGCGATTACGAGTTTCAGGTTACAGACAATAGCCGGGAATTACACCCTCAGATGGTGTGTGTGTGCTGTTGTTTCCTCTCTGAAACCTGAATCCACTCATTCAGTTTACTACTACTGCCGCTCGCCCCGTCCCTCGCTGTGCGTGCCTCAGTTTGTGTGGTATGAGGAGATGTATAGGAGCTCAGAGGTTTCCTCTCAGTCACTGCAGCGGCTCTCGGCCTCACATTAAACATTCAACAACTCAGCAGTATGGCTCCTGAATGCTCCTCTAATTATAGAAGCTCCCAGCCTGATTCTCTCTACCTCCACCTTCCACTGCATCGCTCTGGACTCTCGGTGTACTTTATGTGTGTGCGTGTGTGTGGGAGAGGTGTTAATGAGAGTCAGTGGGAGAGAGAGAAAACTCAAACTCTCCATTTGTGTACCCATCTGCCTCCCCTGCTTGAATCCCTTAAGAATATCATTTTATGTGTTTCCAGATAGATAGATAGATATTAGTCACTAAGTCAGTATTTGTGGTAACTTTATCGAGCAGGGCAAATTCTTCGTTAGTCATTTCTTATAAATTGCAGTTATTACTCATCACTAGAGCTGATTTCTGTTCTTTGCCTGTCGACTGATTTATAGAAAATATCCGGTGTTAGTGTGAAGTA